TCCCCTGCAATAGCTACTTCAGCAGTTTTGCAGTACAATGAGTAAGAGTGATATCAACCATAGTAAAGCAGAACAGTCAGTGTCATAGATATTTTCTTTTGTACCTGCTGTGTTTCTATCATATAGCTTTGGAAGTGTCCTTTAATGAGCTCAGACTGTCAAGGTGATGTGACTCCGGTGTGCTTGTCAGCTGTGCCTAGGCAGAGGCTGATTTGCATTCAGACCAGTCAGCCTACAGGGACAGAGCTCCTTATCTGTCTGTCAGTAGTTCACATTAAATGTAGGGCAGATCTACTATGGATCTGTAGTACCTTTTTGAAAGGTACTATGTATGCAATTCTCTGAAAAATGGTGCAACAACATTGATTTATGAGACAACATATATGTGCCAAGATTTAACCTAGATCTGATGTGATACCAAGGTCTTGCTTTGATTTGTATTTCATGTGTGCTTCAGAATATCCAGAATATGCCTATATATTTGCCATGTTGATTCAAAAAATCTTGCAACTATTAATTATGAAATATCAATCACACATGGAAAAAAATTACTTGAGAGTTGTGTAATGGTCCATAGAAAGTCACAGCTACATCTTTGGCTGATGAAGACTACAAAGGCACCAGAATGTGTGTTCCTATTCACACTGGAAAACATGGTATTACTAGTGGGGCTGATTGAAAATCTCATCTAGATGTAACATTATTCTTAAACAAAAATAAAGCATAAAAAGTAAAAGTCTGTTTCAGGGGAAACCAGCTTCATACGCACATCAAAGCTCAGTTGGCAGACATCATTCTAATCCTATATTTGCTTCTGCATATGTCTTTGTTACTCACTAGATTCAGTGCCATTCACCCTCTCATTGACATTATACTTTCATCCTATATTTAGTTCTTATCAGTTGATTGCTGGGTGTTTCTGATAACAACATACTCCCATGTGGTCTGGGGAGATCATTGGATGCATCAGAGTTAAATTAAGTTTCCTTTCCTTGACCCAGCTGTGCTGCTGAGCATGCACTGGGGTACAACACTCTTTTTCTTACGAACAGTTTGATTCTCAGTAGGACTGAACTCTGAGAATTCATCAATAACATGTTAGCAGACAACTCAAATATTGTCCTGCATTTTCTTGTTGAATGACTGTTGTACTCAATTCCTCCAATACTTTCCTTTATCAGTATCAAAGTCTCTCCTCTCTTTACCTCATAATTTCATGTCTCTTCTAATTTTCCTTTTTAGAAAATATCATCAAGGCAACCCAAAAATGACCTCATAAAGTATTTGTATATTCGTACTTTGATTATATGAACAACCAAACTTTTCACTAATAAGCAGGAGTTTGCATTAGAGTCTCACAAATAGTAAACCTCTAGCATTTTCCAAAGGAAATTGCTCAAAAAACTGCTCAAATAATTAGTTCCATCAGTTAGGGTTCTTAGTGAAAAAGGCATTGTCTGAAATCAAAGCATGTGGCTGCATGCAGATATTAGTAGCAGCATATAGTATGTCCTTCTCCCCTGGTCCTAGTATTGTTTTTTTCCCTATCCTGGTACCTATAGAGAAAAGAGAACTGTCATTTTATTTTGTCTAACACAGATTTGTGTATCTGAGAAATCTGGTGAGAGGGTGTAGCTGTTACTACACTTCCCTCCCTCTCTCCCTCCCTTCTCACCACTGAATGCAAGAACTGATCCCAGGACAGTTCATTTACCATGTAACACCTGTGACCAGGAGCAGGATATTTATTGCTAACTTGAGGCAACAGCATTTCCTCATTGTGCCCAAGGCATAATCAGAAGAAATTATGAGAAACTCGCATGTGTCCAGGTTTAGATATCACTTGCAAGAACCAAAGGAGTTTTAGATTTTTCATTTTCCATGTTGTTTGAGGAGCAAGGAGAGAGACAGGACATCTTACAAAAGAATATTTCTGGTCAGGTTAGGCAGAAAAGATTCCCACTAAAATGAAATTTTCAACATATAAACTAGGTCATTTACTTTGTTGCATGAAGATTGGTATAAATTTTTCAGTTTCTGCATGCTGTGAGTTTCACAGATTAGTTTAAAAGAAACTCCTAAATTGAATCAGGATCTAAAGTTTTTAGATTTTGAAAAAAACTTTGAACTTGCCCTTAAAAAATTTTCAAATTTTTCGGTTGCTTAGACTTCTAAAGAATATAAATGTGATATTCTTTATAATTTCCAGATGGCAATGTTTGTTTCTCAGTTTCAACATACATGCACACACATATAACTTCTTTTATTTTAGTTCTGTGTATTTTCATGAAGGCTGTGATTATTTCTAGTAAATATGACACTCAGATCCCTTGACTTTTTCCTCCTTAAAGGGAACAACTGCATAACTTCCAATATATTTGCCTAAAGCCACACTTTATATGTATATAAGTATATGCACATATACATGTGTAAGATGTACATACATATCTATACATATATGTAAGATATTGGTGCATATGTCATCTTTAGCCTGCTTCCCAGAATGAATATTTTGTGCATACAAGGGAGGGTATGAGAGGATACCAGCCACTTCTCTTTCTGGCTGCTGGGCTGATGTTGTGGAAAATTGGTTTCAAATTGGATTCTCTCACTTCTTCTACTCTTATATTTTGATTTCAGAACAACAGCCCATGATTGAGGATAATCATAAATAGTAACAAGGGAGTAAGGTGTGGGGAAAGGAGAGCAGGTGGTAGGAGCTGCAATGTAAAGTGGTGAGGGACAGGCAATCATGCACATGTAGTTAGTTATACAAACACCTATGTCTGGGCATGTCACTCCTTTTTTTTAAGATTTTGTAAGCCTTCTGATGTTGACATTCTTGTAGTGAACTTTCTCACACACTTTCTGTAAATAACTCATTGTTTTACATTCCTTTATGGAGGAGGAGAGAGTTGATAGACTGTTGGTTTAACCAGTGTCATTGGAGAGGTGTCACCGTCACCCTCCAATCCACTGTCACTTTTAGAAAACTGTAAATGTTGGAGTCAGAAAATAAACCTCCCTTTTTTCTTCACCTTAAGAACAGCGGTGTGAGCTTGTGTTCTTTCGTGTCCTATAGTGACATTGGCATAGTCCACAATCTCAGGATCTTGCTACATAAAACAAGAAAATATTCAGACATCATTTTTTCCCCATTTATCTCTCCCCCCATGTTCCAAAATGAAGACTTTATTATTTTTTTTGAATTTGAATAGGAATACAAGTGAAAAAATCCTGACTTCTCAGGATTGATGAGCTCTGTGCTTCAGGTATTCAGATGATCTATCTCACGTCTTAAGCAAGTAGTAAAGCTGTCAAAACATAGGTGACCCCAAATATTTAACTGTTCATATAAAATGGAACTGCTTCAGCAGAAGAGATATAATTAAGAAGAACAAGGAATTTGCCTTAGTATCATCCTTTACTAACCACTGACCTTTTGAGAGCAGCTGCTTTATTGATATGTGAATGTGACTCCTCAGACCATTCTGGTACTCATGAAAGAGTATTTTTGAGGAAATAAGGTTTTACATAAAATCACTTTATCAGCCTTAGTAAGGACGATCTACTGAAGAACAGGCTAAAGGAGCAAACAGAGGGCTAGAGGGATGATCAGAAAAACAATGAGCACTTAACATCAAGTAATCAAACCTTGTCAGTGCAAAACATTGGGTTAGTAGAGCTAAAGAAGAAAGAGGCTCAAGCACTGGTTGCAAGCTTTGGCTAGAAAAAGCTACCACTTTCAGACAGGTGGCAGGTATGAAATGTGTTAAGAGCAGAGGGAAGAGGAAAAACCTGGTGGTGATTTTGCTGTTCAATGAACCTTTTCTTCTGCATATTGTGCATTGGATAAATAGATTCCTTTCCCCACACTTTGCCACAGAGCCAGGTGCCAATATCTCCTGGGGGGAAGATGAGAAGTGTAAATGCCAGCTCGTGTAGCAGAGACAAGGTGACTATAGGTTCCCTAGCCAGAGCTGTTAAAGGTGGTTTCTGGTTTCATGTGACGATGACATTTATGTAAAGGTATGCTGGCTTCAGGGCACTTTTCTGCTAATTTCATTTTCAACCTATTGACCCCATACGTAATTCTACAGCTGTGGAATTGCAAGCAGTCCAAGGAAAAGATTGCTCAGGTTTTAAAATAATTGTTCTTATTTGAATTGTTAACATTTTACTTTCTCTAAATGTTTTTAAGTATCTACTTGTTTTCAGTATTATAAAATCTTCTTCAAAATCACAGAATTTTTGAGCTACTTAAATATTTCCATGAATCAGACACAGAAAAACAATTCTGGTCTACTTGATATTTTTGCATATTGCCTTCACATATGTAGACTATATAAAATATTAATATTACATTTTTAGCAGTGTTCTGTAATACTTAGATGAACTTCACAGGTATATGTGATAATTAAAGCAAATCATAAAAGGATAAAAAAAAATCAAAGCAAATTTTACTGGTTCAAATTGCTGTCTTAATTGGTTCTGAACTGCAACTAAGAGTCTAAGTGGAGAAAATCACCTAAATTTACCCTCCCCCTTAGTCAGCGGTGAGCTTCATAGGACCCTCCCCAAGCCATATAAGGCCAGGAAGAATGTGCTAAGCACTGAGTGTGCTAAGAATAAAATTGTACTGGGATGGATAAGGTTACTTTGAACTCTATATTTCATGTTTCCTGACATACCCCCCAAAGAACTGCAATTATGCTAGCAAGGCTGTAGGAGCATTGAACAGTTCTTTCCCAGTTCTTGTGATTTTTGTTGCCTCTCTGTGCATTCCTGTCCTGTTTAGAGCTGTGGTTTTTTACATTTTATTTCTGGTGTGCATGGTTCTGAGGATATTAGAAAACCGTGCTGAAGGTTCACTCTGAGGCATGGCTATTTTTGTTAGAAGCTGATACTTTAGACTGAGCTTTGAGTGTTGCCTCTGGAAGGCCTTGGGTTGTTCTGGGAGGCCAGGTCTGCAGAGGAAACAGACATTTCAGAGAGCATAAAAGAAGAAGGAACACAATTAGAAAAAGCAGAGGACCTCCCTCCTTCTCATCCTGCAAGTCCTGCGAGAGTCAGCAGCCCAGAAGTACTATCTAAGGTGCCACAGTAAATCTTGACCTTTTAAACAGAATATCTCTTACCATCATCATGGCCGAGATAACAGCAGAAGGTACAGTAACTCTTTTCAAATATAATTAACAAAAAATTATTTGTGATTTAACAGTATAAGTGAAGTGGCCTGTCAAAATGATTTATTGTTCTTAGAAAATTATGTTTTCGCTCCAGGATCATTTAATTTTGTTTTCTGCATTCCTTTCTATTTTTCTTTACTGTTTTTTCTTCTCTCTTTTACTTTTTCACTCTTGTAGCCTGAGTTTTTACGAGTTACTGAAAAAAGTTCTCTGTACACCTCTAAAAATAACCTTAGTTTCATCTGCAGAACACCATTATTTAGGCACCTCCATCAGAGTGATAGAAACAGGCAATGTCTGAAGTTCAGGGTTCTATTCTCAAGCCTTTGCTCAGAAAAAAGCTTTGGTAGTCCCTTATAATCAGAGATTTACCAGAGTCAGAACAGCTTAATTTGTTTGCCCTGATTTTTCCATAGGGAGCACAGAGTATATTTGAAGTGTATGTGAAGTTACTGAATGGTAAAAGGCAAAAAACCCTTCTGCTATCCTTATTTAGGTAGACTTCTGAGGGAGTCAGTGAAAATTGCGCTGAAATAAATATGCCAGATGTCGGCCTGCAAAAATGAAAAGCAATTGTACTAACCAACAAATACATATTCTAAAATGTGAATGTTTCATGTACTTTAACATTTCTTGACCATTCATATTTAAAGTACATTTTAGATGCATAGCAATATTTTATCAGCTGAAGTCAGAAGGGGGGATATATTTTAAATGCAACCCTCTTTAATACAAAATATTTTAGTTGCATTTTACTCCAACTATTTTTCCACTCTTTATCTGAATTTAATAATGAAACAAATACAAAAAATGCTTTTAAACAGTCTTCTGAGATTTACTTTATTCAGCTTCTCAAGATTATGTGCTGTTTCAGTGCATGAAAGATGTTGTTTTCATCTTCCATTTTTTATTGTTCATACTTGTAAGAGGATCTGCATTAAGTGCTATTAGAAAGTGATCCTGTTCCTTCTTAAGGGCTAATGTTAGGACTGTGTCAAGTAGTGCAATCCTTGCTTGATGTCTGGTTAGCTACATCAGGGAAGCAATGTGATTTTTTAATCAGCAGTTGGACTGATCTATAATTTACTTCTGGCTGCATGTACTGCCAAAACAGGTGGCTCAGCCTGACAGCCCTAACCCAAATACTAACACTGGTTTATTTAGATATTCTTAACAAGGTTTGTTGGAAACATTGGTTATTTTCTGGCTGTTATGAGGCAAATCTGTGAAGTAACCAAATTAGTGAGATTTTTTGTCCAAAATAAATGGAAAAAAATATAAAACTTTACAACCAGTCTGACTTTTCAGTCATTGAGCTTATTAAAGAAAGAGAATTATAGACTCTAGAATGAAACAAAAAACCATTGAATGAAGAAAAGTAGGGTCTGAATTTTTTTTAAATTTTGTTGGTAGTGTTTTTACAGGAGTATTTTTACAGCTGTAACAGTATGTGTCTTCTCTGGGGCTTTTTGACCAAAGCATAGACTTAGATGATAAAGGGCATCAGCTCCCCAGTAAACTTTCCACGTGACAGGGAAATAAACTATATAATTAGTTTAATTTAGTAATGTTTGGCTTAGTTTTATTTTGTTTTCATGTACTTGGAATGCACTTGTAGTGATTGACTGATTTTTAGACACTGTATCCACAAGATGGAAATTTTATTCATGACATAAAGTAAGAATTCAGCTTGAAGCTAATGTTTCACTGCAGTTTGTTTTCCTCTGGGGGTAGTACTGGCACTCACAACCTGAAAGTTTAGATATAAACTTCAGCAATATGTAGTTTGGATAAACAAAAAGCTATTCAACTACCTGTTACTTCACAAAATTTATTTTTTTTTCACAATTTATTTTGTTTTCCATACCGCCTCCCAGCCCATGATTTGCTGGGCTCTTCATGACTTTGATAGGACTAAACCACTTGCTCCTTGCAATAGGTATTTATAACTTTTTTTCCACTGTCAGTCACAGAGGCAGACTCTTGGGCTCCTTGCCTTTCGGGGTACCATCCTGACACACCAGAGAGCAGGGCACAGCAGTGATGCCATGGACAGTGAGTTTTCTGGTTCAGAGATTTGGCCCAGGGCTGGCAGGGTGTGCTGCTGCACATCTCAGGGCTCTCTTTCTGACAGCCTGTGTCAGGACAACAATCTATCCAGAGATGAACAGCATGATAATGACGGTGAGATTAAGTAACTTAAATATGTAGCCAATAAGCAATTACCCTGCTACTTGCACAAAAACCCACATGTGCTACTTATTCTTTCACACAGCGACAAATTGTTAGTTGTGGAAATACTGGTGAAATGTACACTGTGAAAGACAAAATGAGATCCCTGAAGACAGCAATTCATAAATGTCCTTAGAAAGTTGGCAGGACCTATGTCTCTAGCTGTCAAGTATTTAGGAGAAGATTCCAGAGGATTATCTTCAGCATTCTCCTATTACATGTCATTGCCATCACAGAAATGTACTGTTAAAAAATGGAAGTCCTTAAAATTGTATAAAAAAAAGTACAAAGACTCAGTACAGGGAATAAGTACTCTGTATTTGTTATACTCTCAGGATCTAATATTATTATTAGTATTAGTCATATTATTACAATTAATAGTAGTTATTGCTCTTGTTATTATTACATTTAAGCAGTTACTGAGTATTCTTGTAGCAGCCAGGATCTTTTCTGGGATCCACTTAAGGCTTTGTCTAGAAAGCCATGGGTCTCAAACTATGCTACTCCACTGTGTCTATGAAAACAGGGATTGGACTGGACTCAGTGGCAGATGTAGTTGGAGCTGCCACCCCTGAAACACGAACAGCAAAAGGCTGACACCTCTGAGAAATGGCTTCTGCCAATGTACAGCTTAATCTGTGTGAGCACAGCAGCTCCAGCACCAGCCCCATAGCTGGTCCTTTCTATTCCAATCTCCTGCAAGTCACAGTGCAAGGTTGATGGGCATCCCCTGACACTTCATCCTCCCACACAGGGAAGAATGAACAGAGACTCAGCTCTGCTTGCTGCAATGCTCTGGAGACTGTGCACTGATCTAATCCAGGAAGGTGAGGAGAGGAGAAAGACAAGGTTTCTGTGCCAGCTGTTTGTCTGCCACAACTTATTTCCCCAGTGGAGCAAGAGAGAAGCAGGAGTTAAATAGAAATGTGACAATGAGTCACAGTTTGGTCCTTATTTTGCTGCTGAGAGCTGTGCGACTACATATTTCCTCTCTCTGGGAGCAGGCTGCAAGGAGACAGGCTAGCCCCAAGGCTACACTCAGCTTGTCAGTGGCAAAATCAAAATTAGCTTCTGCATTTCAGCCCTTTTCTCAGGCTATTGGATAACTATGAAAAGTTTTAAGACGTAAATCATTTCAAAAGGCAAAAAGATGTGTATGCTTGAAGATTAATAGACATGAAACTACTAAGGTGTGAGAAATAACACATAAGAGCCAGAGGGTAAAATCCCAATTATTTCATGAGTGTGATGGTCAGAAGCTAACAGACGTAATCAATTGGCAAAATGTTTAATGAAGGCTCACTAGAAGCAAGAGGCAGATAGCTACTTATGATAATTCATGAGTTGCTGCAAGATGTGCCAGTTGTGCTGACTGCAACAGGGGCCTAGATGAATAAATTGGATTAGATGATTCATTTCGATGACTAAAGGTATGAGAAGTGTTTCTTACCCTCCTTTCTTACTGCTGTTTATGCTTGGAGCTAGGATGTTTATATAGAATACTTTAGCACCTAGCAAATTTTCAAAATGAAAAGATGCCTTCTGTCTCTGCCTTTCAATGTTGATGAGAAAGAAGATAGTATACCTATTACAGCAGGGTAAGGAAAATGCAACAGTTTTAGCTATGGTTTTTGAAGGAATCTGTCTGTTCTAGTTCAGAACAACCAGGTACAATCAGCAGCCTAATTACACAAAGTAAAAAAAAAAATGTCAGAAAACCCAGGTCTACCAGTGAAAAATCTTTGTGGAGAACAGAAGCTCCAAATTCTTACCGAAATTCCTTAAAAATCATATTCTCCTGTGACTGTGGGCCTGTACAACCATGCTGGTTTGGCTTCAGCCTTGGTGTTTTCTCACACATAGCCTGTTGAGGCAAGCATGGTTAGCTTGACTTTTAGGAATTTGTGTACAGCTCTGCTCAAAGCTGATACAGTATTTATGCACCTTCAGCTGGTACAACACTTACACACAATTCATTACTTCAGGCAGCCCCTCAGAGAGTCAGGGGTTTAGCTCTGGAGAACAGGAAGACTGAAAACCTATTAACCAGAGAGCCAAGCTAATGCATCGTGTTAATACACGACAGGCTAAAACTGTGTGTGTTCAGTTAGCTCCTGCTGTGGCAAACAGCTGGACTGTAGGTCTGAATATTTATTCAAATTTTTTTTTTAAATATTACAAAGAACCTTGTTATCTTAAGTATTTGGAGCATATTTTAATGTAACATATATTGAGAAATGCTTTTAAAATCCTACTAGTGTTTTCAAGTAATTGGGAAAATCAGTTACCACTGACCTAAATATGAAATCTGAGCAACTACTTACATTCTCAGAAGTCTCAACCTATAGTTTCAGAGACCTAAACATTGAAAAAAATCGAGTCTAGAAACATTTTGAGTACTTTCACCCACTGACTGCAATATAAATACTGAGTAAGAGGCAGATTTACTCTCTTTTTACTGCTTAGTTCTGGAAAGCAAAAACTGTTTTACTTTAAAACGTTTCATAATACAGGTCTGGCTTCAGTTCAGGACATACTGAGGAGGGAGAAACAAATCAGAGTTACCCCATTTGAAGCAGCTCATCCATTTACAGACATGAAAAGCTTTTTTCTTTCTGATGATGACAGTCACTGGTTTCTTCTCTGTTTAAAAAGATTGAACTAATGCAAACTACAAATTTTACCAGGTAAACCATATTACAGAAGTAGAGGCTTACTTTTAATGATTTGCTTTAAACCCAAATGA